AGCAATTCCCTTCTCTCATTTATCTTGCTACCTTGAAGGTATTAATAGATTATCATCCTGTCACCCTGCACTATAAAAAATTAGTTCACTCTGCTTTTTGTTGCCCTTTGGATTTTCTCTACTTTTCCCTACAGAATCCATAAACAGAGGGAACCAAAACTAGAAACCTTAATCAAGGGAAACAGGCCTATGTACAGTGGTATTATCACATCTCATTTAATATATCCAAGGATAGTAACATAAATAGAATATTTTTGTTGCCTTTAACAGCACTATACTACAAACAGAACTAAATGATTTGCTACACCCTTAGGGCTGTCTCCAAGACTTCCTAGGCACCATTTGACTGTATGCTGTTTCTTATCCTTAAGGTTAGATTACATTTATCATTTTGGCTCATATATGAAGTGTTTATGTGTGTGTGAATTGAAGGCCTTAAGCTTCAGTGCAGCAAACAGAAGCAGCATGCAGGATTAAACACAACAGCTAGCCTGTTAACTGCAAACTCCTGGTGAATCTGTATAAAAGGAACTTTTTCCTTTTCTGTGATCTGGGTGATATTTAACTATGAAATGAGGTTATACAGTCAGATGTGATATTGTCAAATTACAGAAGTCAAGTCACTTTACAAGAAAGTGCAGAGGATTAGGTAAGATAAATTATTTGGGGACTTCCAATTATTTATAGTGCCATAAAAAAGGCACAGGTTAGCTTCAGAGACTTTGATTTTGTTGAGACCAGCTATTGTGAAATAATTATTCTTTTAAAATTTAAATGATATAGGTTGATCATTGAGCAAGAGTATCAAGAGATATGTATATAGATAAAAAGATTGTATAAAATATTTAACTAATTCATGCACAAAACTTCATTTAGAAGTAAGTAAGGCACCTTGCACATAACAAGCTTGATAAATCCACAAATACCAAGTCATAAAAATTTAATCCACCTAAAAGGATTTACCGTATCTGCTTTTTCATTTATAGGCAAATACAACTACTGGACACTACAACTTTAACTCTGTCTGCCTTCTGCACCCCTTTAACCAACCTATCATTTGTCAACACATTTGTTAGATAGCTGGGATGTTAATTTATTAGGCATGGGTGGTTTGGTTAAGGAGGTGATGGACACTGGACAATTAAGGTGGCTAAACTAGCGCCACATAACTAAGGAGGTAAGGTTCTGAAAGCAGAAGGATGTGCCAAGATGTTGACACATGAAGATTTAAGAACTTTGGTTATTGCAGGTTTTGTTCCAAGAATGCAATGTGCAGTCAGAATAATTAAACTATACAAGAGATGGCTTTGTTTTTCATTGAACTGTGATTAAAAGATGACAGATGTTGTGGAGCTCAACTATCAATTTTGATTAAACTATGCCTGCATGTCACATGGATTGTATCCATGTTGGTTCACACCAGATTTTCAAAATGAAAAATCAAACTCCCCACTAAAAACCAAATAAAGTATTAAATGCCTGCTGTTCTCATAATCTTGGGAAGCTAAACATTGTGAACTGACAAAGCAAACTGGGGAATTTAGTAGCTGTATGAATCAGTCTCACCTGCTAAGGAGCACAAACTGCCTTTTATCTATTGCTTATTTCAAACTAAATACTCTCCAGAAAGCTCATAACTAAGTTACTCAGCCTGTAAATGAAGTTATCCCTCACCGCACTAAAACAAGTTCAATTTCACTAGTAGTAGTGACCATATGAGCATTAGTGTAGAAAGAACAGAGATGATTTACCATCATGGATGTCTAACCTAACTCAGAGAAGGACTTGATAACACAGTAGTAAAATGCAAGTGACAGCCTTCAGTTACATCTATTCTCACGTCCTTTCACCCACTGGGTGATTTAATGCTTGTAGTAGCACAAGGGTGGAAAATTGCCTGATGGTGACCAGTGCAGACAAGGAACTAAAAAAAGTTGTATTGTTGGTTTTTTGCCTTGTTAATAGGGCCTAGCCTTTTATACTATTTGCCCAAATATGCTTCTTCATTTATACATGACATCCCTACAGAACTTTATTTACAGTGGTATGGATAAAACATTTTAAAAATGAATCTATAAACAAAAATGTATATTGCACTCAATACATGGATCAATCTTTCCTTCTCAAAGCCTTCACAAGACAGACCAGTACTGGAGCCCTCTCTGTTTAGGAAACCACTTATTTAAGAGAGAGAGAGCTTGACATTATTCAGCAAGATTTCCCTTTTTTCTCCTCAAGTCATCTCCTTCACCATACCAGTCTCTGATTCTGAAGCATCCAGAACCTTGTCTCCTACCAACCCTTCCTTTTTCATCTCAGTGCCTTCCTTCATTATGCAAACATGCTCAGGTCTTTTTCTCTGTTTCTAAACATGAGAGTATTTTCTTGCTTTTTATCAGGTATTTTTTTAGATTTAGAGTTAGTATATTTAAAAAAAAAACAACTCAGAAGACATCTAAATATGGGCCAAATACATCAAAAGAACCACTTACATCTGCTACCAAAGACTCCCTTGCCCCTGTCCAACTCCAAAGAATGATCATCCTCCTTCACCTTCTCGGTCCATTACCAAATCAAATTACTTCTTTCTTGAATTTCAGTTATTTCACTGCTACATTTCTGAGCATCTCAATTAAATATATCAACTGTACCAATATTGTCAAAAAACTCTTAGCTTTTCTACACCTATTTTGAGCCACGGATTAATCTTAAAGTACCTTATCTTATCTTATCTTATCTTCAGCTTACATAATACTGAGGTGCAGAGAGATTAAACAATTTATGTATAATCATCTATTATGTCAGGGGTAGAGCAAGGAATAGAATCCACGTCTCCTGGTTCCCAGTCCACTACATGATAATTCCTCCTCAAGGATGGCAATAGTGGGAGTGCTAATGTGGACAAAGCCATATGGTTTTGGTTAAATTTTGAATTTAACTTGTCAACAGTCACTTGTAACAGTCTACAAAGGGCACCCCTCATCATTGATACTACAGATGGAACGATGTGCTAGTAACATCAGGCAATTTCAACAACATAAAACCCCATCTCTTACCTAAAATCCTATGTACCTTAACATAAGGTGCAGCCTTTGTTTGCAAGTGGATTGGTACTTTAAGCAATCTATGTCTTTATTCTTTTTATTGCAGGTTTTTGCTTATGATTCAGATAGACTGAGGCAGGGTGAAGTACAGAAGTAATCCTCATGTCCTCCCACTATGACCATTTCAGCCCTCTATTTCAGTTTAATAAACTGATAATTTCTGAAAGACAAACTAAATAATTATAGCTGATTTTCACATCCAATATTGAAACCAGATACATTTAAGTATGATATCTTAAATGTAGGGGAGGGGGGAACCAAAACTTGGATACTGTAGATGTTGGCATGATTTGAAAACAGGTGGCATCCATAAAAAACTGCTCTTCTTCACTTTAGGGGACAATGCAAATGTGTTTCTTGCTTTTTAGTCAATAGGAAGGACAAAGAAAACATTACATACATTTCCTTTACTTGTAAATACATATAATGGATGTCTATTTGGAGGTGTCATTCACCAAATTATCACTTACTGACAATTAAGTTTAGACTGTGCCAGCCAGCTCCTGGAGATGTGCGCAAAGACAGTGTACATTTTACCTTGAAATTCCTAATGTAGCTTCCTTCAGCTGCAAGCAGCTCTTTAACCTCCTTAAGCTGCAAACAGGACTGAAATCGATGGACAGGCACCAATCCCAGCCTTTGCCAGCAGCAGGAAATAGAGATGGTGTAGGACCACTTAGGAGTACACCACCACCAAGGGGATTCCTCCTGTACTAAAGGACACCCCTGCAGATGGATACCCTGATTTTACTGTTGCACAAAGTGCTCAGGCTGCAACAGATAATCTTTATCCATAAAGGTCTAATTTAAATGAAATCCTAATCCAATATTTGCTTAAATAAAACAATAGTCATGAAGGGGCTTCAAGATGAATGCAAGAGTCCGCCAATATAAGTTCTTACATGCTAGTAAAACGTGCAGATGATTAAATCTCCATGATTTCCAAATGGAGGATCAGAATTGGTTTGTTTTGTTTTTTTTAAAAAGCAGCTGGTGGTAGAAGAACCTATAGGAAAACCTTTACATTTTTCCTTTAGAAGACAAATGTAGTTGCTGTTAAAGAGGAATCACAATGGCAATTACCTAGAAAAAAGAAATGAGAAATGCTTTATAATGAATAACATCTCCCTTCAAACCTCAGAGCAATAGCAGAAATATTGGAATTTGCCCTCTGTGCTTAGTACAAATTTGAAAACAGAGCTGGAAATGAAAATTAAGACACTAATCGAACTTGCAACTGTACTAAACTAAAGTATATAGACAGGATGATAATGTTGCAAGTACCTTTAAAATGGAGCACTAGGGTGCAGTACAGCACAATCTAGATTTACCAGTACCCGTTCCGGAAAATGGAAATGGATTTATAATTATATTCTCAATTTTGCTGTTACTGTATGATAACACACACTTATCTTTGCTATAACACCTGCAAACCATCCATACTTAAAAACAACAACAGTTTCTTTAGGGAGGGAACTTCTATTGCAACAGATTACTGTTGTACAGATTTACAGACAAAGCATATATAGAAGGTCCTTTTCTAGAAGATGAAAGGGCTTGAGTATGCAGGGTACTATCCTGTTTGTATTTACCCCTTTTTTTCATCCCAATATGTCAAAACACTTTCTAAGAGGAGTTCTGTTTCACTGTCCGCATTTTGCATGGAGAGTGAGGGACAAGAGGGCAAAGGAACAAAGTAGGCCAGTGGCAAAGACAACATAATAAATGCCAAACTCACTGCTCTGTCCTACTCAGAAGTGCTCCATTATAAAGGCTTTGTTATGTGGACACACAGCTTGTTCATTCCTGTTAACATATGCAGTCAACTAGAGCTTTCAGACCAACTACAGTAAAACCAAATAAAAATAATAATAAAGATAGGTCAGACACAGACAGTTAAATAGAACTATTTTCATAGATTTATTCAAAAAATACTTACAAAAGCAAGTATGTTTGACCCTAAAATAGTTAAACGTATTTTGTGTTTACATTGGTGTAATTAAGCGTGCAGCATTAACAGTCTTTTCTGTCTGAAGCATTGTTAGTTTGCCAGAAAGAAGTGGGGAAGTTCTGGTTTATTAGTGGGGCAATGTCTCCTTCCCACTTCCCTACTTAGCAACTACAGCTGTGGTCTGTGCTTGAGATATCAGCATAATGAATGGTGGGTTTGCCTCACTAGCTGCCAGTCCAGCTGAGTTTAGATTTTACTGGAAACCTGGAAGGTAGATCAGTTTTACCCTAGTAAGGGGTAGAAGAGAGAGAAGAAAAAAACAAAAGGAAAAAAAAAATAAGTGGGCTGGTTCTGTACGCAAATAATTAACCAAAGCTGTTTCATTACTGAGACCATAAAAGTGTGGTCCTTTTTCCGTGTGTGTGTGCGTGCGTGCGTGCGTGCGTGTGTCCATAGCCAGTGCCCCTTATATCTACTACTCCCTACAACACTTCCTGCTGAGACGTTGGGACTGAAATAGCTGAGAGCTTCCCCCACAGACAGCAATTCAGCAATACCAGAAAAGAAACACATTGCAGTTAGCTTCCACATACTGTATAGTTATATTTTAAAACAGAACTGGCACAAACACCAACTAAAAAAGTTTGCTGCTTTACAATAAACAGCACCTCCATAACAGCTACAGTGCAGATGGTCTGTTCACAGGGAAGTTTATCATTGTTGGGGTTGCACTGATTTGAAGAAGGCCTCCCCAGCCATTATTTTGTCTGGTGGCAGCAGCTGCTGCTACTCGGGCTATGATATTTCGGTGTGTCTCAGTAGCAGAAGAGAAAGCACCCGCCACCACACGCACTGGCAGTTTCCTCTTTCCACCTGGCTGCAGGGTATAGCTGTTCTGCCGCCAATCTTCTTCTGGGGGCATATCAACCCTCTTTGGACCCGGCACCTTAGCACGAGCAGGTGGCACAGGACAACCTTGAGGGTGACTAGAATTCCAGTGCAGCCCCCATGGTGCTCTTAAGATGCTGTAGTCTGTGCTGGATGGTGGCCTACACTTGATGGAATAAGACTCTAGCATTTGATGTTGTAAGGGCTGCTGGAGGAAGTCTTCCTGTAAGCCTTTGTCTGATTGGCCTGGGCATCCCAAGTGCATTTTTTCTTTATCTGGCAATGTCACTGTTTGTTTAGCAGTGTGGCTCAACTGCAGCCAATGGCCAGAGAGACTTGATGCCCCACCTCCTAAATGCTGATCAAGAGGCCTTTGCCCTTGGGCAGAGGGGCATTTCTGTGCGCAGGGGAGACTTCCATAGCTCAGTGCCACACCTGTGTGGTCTTCACCTTGGAAAGTTTCACCCCCGTCAGGCATAACCAGAAGTTTCTGGATGTTCTTCTGATCTCCTGGGGGAAGAAAGTGTTTGTTCGGTTAATTTTTTTTCTCTCAAAGCCTCCAATGGTGGCCCACCTGCAGATTGGAAAGGTTAAACTGAATCAGCCCTACACCAGGACATTTCTTGTAATACGGATTTTGAATGAGTGAAAACTAGTCAATTCCAACTAGGATCATAATCCCAGGAGACTGCAAAAAAGTGAAATTTGAAGGAATGCGTCTCATAGAACATAGTACCTATAGCCAACTCTTTCACAGGTAGTTACTATCCACCCTTCATACAAATGGTTCAATAGCTGAACATTTCAGGGTACCAAGACCTAGGTGGAGCACAACTCTAAGGAATTTGTGAATCCCTCATAGCCTTTTTTTCTGTAACATTATAAGACTATTTAAAATGACTAACAAACTAGTTAAGTACATTAAAATGTAAATTCCAGAAGCAGTTCTTTGAGGTTACACTGCCATTTTTGCTGGCCAGATACCTCTTTACGTGCATCTATAATGTAAGCATTATTACATTTAAACAATCAACCGCCATGCCTCCAACTTAAAAATGATCCCTTTAGATTGCAGTCACTTAACACAGCACATTAAAGCAGTGTGGAAGGGATAGCAAAGGGAAAAAAAAGAATGACAGATTTATCCTTCCAAATTTCTGGAGAGACTGAGGCAGGTGTAAAAGCATCATTGACAGACAAGGCCTGAGAAGCTGTGCTTCAGAAACAGCAGGGTAAAAACTGCACACAGTTTTTCTGATCATGCAGGAGGGCAAAATGCCCTGTGATTACCTGATGGTCTATGTGCCTTGCCCACCATGCTAGGCATCAATACGTCATGGGACAGGTGCTGCGGCCAGGTTGGGTTGTGCTGGGGATCAAAGGGTAACACAGGAGGGTCATGGGGAAAAGGAAGGGAAGTAGAGCTGGAAGAGCGGTGCCTGGTTTCCACTGGCATTCTCCTCATATTTGATGCTTCCTTTTGACAAAATGAGAAAGGGGAAAAAACCCACAAATGATGATTAAACAGAGCTGGGCTGAATCAAGTGAACAGGGCAATGACAGGGATAAGTCACCACAACAAGTACATGCATCTGTATGTGAAAGAAAGGAATGCAAGGTAACAGTATTCATTTTGGAAGACTCTCATCTGGTGAATGTTTTAATGGTGGGGGGGTTGACTAATCGTTTGGCTCAGAGTGGGAGGGGTGGGACAAAAGTTTGGTTCACATACCCATTTTTCAGAATAGTGGCAATAATCTCACAGTAGAAAAAGTAAATGTGCCCATTCCCACTTAACCCTGTTGGTGCTGTCCCAACACAACACAAAGATGTACACTACAGGACCCAGCATGCTTTATAAAAGAGCTGCACAAGGATGTAGGGTATCTGTTTTGGGTAGTACCAGGTAGCTGAATCTTTTGCAGCAGTAAAAGATAGATTTGTCTGAACCCCTACCTATACACCCAGATTTGCACCAGTTTAACTGGACTGATTTAGGGAAAAAAAAACCCAAACGTGTATGCTTAGACAATGCCTAAAGCTCAAAAGTCAGAGTCCTGCTATGGCTTTCAACTTTGACAAACAACTTTGCAAACAGACCTCCTTGTTCTATCCTTCTTGTTCAGCTGTTTTCAAACAGAGCTAACGTTCTTAGGTTTCCTAACACAGGCAATGGAAAGTGGAGGCGGGGAGACACCAGAACTAATACTTCACATTAAAGAATACTCTCAAAGCTTCCCCTCTTCAAAGAAATTGCCCCATTAAACACCAGTGTGTTCAAATTGTTCCTGTTCTTCTCAAACTGGCAGTTCCAGAAAATTGCCTACTTTTGAGGATATGTTGGGGAACATTACTGGGTGCAATTAGGTGCAGAATTTTTGTTCCTTCCCTCCAAAAGCAGAACCACACTGACATAAGTGAAAATCTTTTCTCTGCCCTTTCAAAGAGGAGAAAAAAATTCTTGAGGAGACAGGTATGGCAGTGCTGCTGCTTATTAGCTTTCCCTAATGTGGCTAGGAAAGAAGCTTTCCTCTTCTGAGCTAATATAATTTTTTTGCAATTGTATGCCTTTCTTGTTTAGTAACTGCTGCTAGAGAAGATGGATACAGGAAAGGAAGAAAGAAATTAGGTGGTATTCGCTCATCCCAAGATAGCTCTTAATAATGCTACTGATCATTCTACTTACAAAACTATGAGACGAGACCAGGGTCTCTTCTTTGTTTGCGATGACTGTCCCACTGAGACTGCGAGCGATACGACGGAAATTCTCTGCACTATACATCTCCTCTTCTGGCTCCCTGCTGTGGTCTCTGGTATATGTGACCTGCAAACAACATTACAACATTTAAAAAGGTCTCTCCATGGGTCCTGTGCTGTACAGTGATTTAGGGAAAGAGGTCAATAAAAATGTGATAAATTATATGAACTTCATGAAATATGCTGATCTTTTCTTTTCAGACTCCTTCATTCAAGACTAACTTAAGATACTAAAGCAAATAAATCTTTTAGAATTTCTTATTAAAATGCTATTTGTAGGACTAGTTTTCCACATTATAATGTACTAACATTTGCACAAGTATACTTCAATATCCTGTAAACACTTAAAGCAAGGATCTACAGCCCTCCAGTGGGAGGAATCTAGCCAAGGGACTGACTACTGCCCTATATGTCTTCTTGGTAGCTCAGATAAGTAGTGTTGGAAATGATGACCAGGCCAAAATGTAATCTAAAAGGGAAGTGAAGGGGCCAAAGGAACTGTCTTTTCATAAATCTGGATAAGTCCAGAATTATTAGGTTGGAAATCTACTTTTCTGTTGGGATAGGAAATTAGTTCCTTTTCTATTTTCAAGTTCATACACATTAGTCTTTAATATTTTTTTTACCCAAAGGTACCCATATGCTTTGAGGTACAAGCACTAAAATATTACAGCTCATTATTCAATTGTCTTATCTTAGGAAAAGCATATGGTATGAACTAAAACTGTTAGACTACTATGAAAAGGAGATAGAACACATTCCCAAGGTCTTGAAGACAGTATCGCAACCTACAATGCACTGTAGCTCCTCCTAACTTTTCTCTCTCTCTCTCTCTCACTCAAAGAATACTAGATGTCAGTTATTATACTGCGCATAATACTCAGTTGAACCCTGTAGCTTCACAATGTGCAATGTGACAGTTTACCAAAGACAGTGCTACAGCTGTAAATATATAACATGAAGAAGGAAACCACAAAAGCAAGCAATATAAAACATTTTAGATCATTTTCATAATGTGATATGTTTCCCTACAGTCTGTAACAATACAATTACAGACACTAGCTCCTAAATTATGAGGCTACATGGCCCTGAAAAGAATTTAGATGACACTACTGTCCAAGTGTAGCATTTATCCCAAATCATCCCTATACTTATTGCTGGATTTTGAAAAGGTCTGTACCTAGCATTCTCTAATGTTTAATATGTATGAACACTCTGCCTTTCCTATGGACATTTTTTACTTTGTTTGCTGCTGAAATAACTGGTCCCTCCATCTCCACATGCATACAGCCTTATAGGCCCCACCCTCCAACATTCTTTAATGTGCTGCTACCTTAGAAACAGGAGAGACAATAGATCCATACAGGCTGCGTTCAATCTCTGCTGTCGGCGTTTTTGAGAGACCCATGCCAGCTGCAGTACGCAACTTCCTTGCATTTACGTTTGCAGAGACTAGGACAGAAATAAAGTAGTGGGATTAAATTCCAAGTGAAAATTTCTATCAGTGGCACACTCGCTGATCTCAAGCCTACCTGAAGCAGAAATGAATGGACTACATATATATATATAAACAAAGGATATACACTACTAACCAAAGGTTCTTCTAAATTAGCCTCTAAATTGACACTTACAGGACCAAGAATCTTTTAGTGCACAGCCTGCTGGAGATACTTGCTTCCCCTTCCCTTGCCCTCATGTGGGATTCTAAATGTTTCAAAGAAAGACTGGTCCCAACCACTTTAATTCAGTACACATGAAACAAAAGGTGACAAAATAGCATGGAGGGTAGTTGTGGCATATGAACACGGAGAGACTTGGCTCCAAGAATTCCAGTTAACTTTCATTCTTTCTTCTAGTAGCCTCTGCACATTCCCATTTGTGGGAGGTTTAGTAAACATCAGATTACCCTCCTCAGGAAGGCTAAGAAATATTAGAGTTAATGATTGCTGAACTGCCAAAAACGAGCGCCCTTTCTACATGTCAAGTCAAGTATATAGACACTGACTGCAATCTCTTATCCTCCCTAAATAGTCCTTAAATTAGAGGGAAAACTGCTGACAGAAAATGTAGAATTTCAAGCAGCAGCTTTAGAAAAACTGTGATTCAGGACAGGCAAAGGCAAGCTACTGGAAACTGTGCTAGGCCAAAGTGTGTATCTTTCAGTATCTTCAGGTGATGAAATAACTTCCATATCATGGATTGAGATACATGGGCCAATACATCTAAGCAACTTTTGAACTGTAACAGAAGATCCTCAATCCCACACCTTATGCCTCCAATACTTGGAGGGAGTTTAAAAGGCTTGTACAAAATACTTTTTCACTGGCAAAATCACCGTTTCTAAGGGTGTAAAAAAGGAGTGGGTAGCTAACATACAAATGCATTCTGGCCCTGTACTTGTAAAAACTTCCTTAAATCCAATAAAGAATTACCCCAGGGAATAAACGGGTTTAGGTATTGTGTGCCCAAAGCTATTCAGTAGCCATTTGTAAGCAAACAGGTTATTACCTATTTAAGCTCATCACCCAGAATATCTCACTACCTGCCTCCTCTAGATTTCATTATCATTTACACCAGTAAAAAAGGCCAGTGAAAAAAAATTATACCAGTGAAAATGAGTTACGTGTTGTGTGTCTAGGCCCAAAGATATAACCATTGCCTGAGTGGCCCAAATCTAAGGCCTGTAGATATCCTAGACATTGAATCCAACTTCCAGGATGTGACTGAAGCTTGGAAAAACAAATTAATTCTCTGAGAAAAATGGATGCAGAAGACCTCCCCACCCCTCCCCACTTGAGACCTCCATCTCAGATGGCAAAGCACATCAAAAAAACAAGAGAGAAAGCTCCCCCATTTCTTTCTCTTTCACAGTAAAGCATGCCAAATATCCTAAGGGATTATGGCTCAGGTGTTCATGGCGTCTAAAAAAGGACAGTAACAAGTCCGTCAGTTGCTCCAGCTACAGCTAATGAAAGTGTGACCCAGTTGCACTGGTAAAGAACCTTTCCTATAACCTGCACTTTTGTGCAGGATTGAAAGTGAACACAATATGCACATTTTACAATGGGCCAAAATCCATTCCCTGACAAGAAAGATAACTGAGAGTTAAGCAACTGATAAAAACCCTTAGTGCTGCAAAGAGGGCAAAGCATGACCACTTTTATTGGCAGGTATATGCTAGGTAGCTGAATCTGAGATGCATAGACCAAAGGCTGAAAGGAGTCTCTGCAAGACTGTTGTCTCAAGCGTGCTGGTTTTAGGAATGGCTACTGTTGGCAGTTCCACTAATGCACATATATTTGGGGACTTCAGTTACTGGCTACAAAGAGCACAGAATCAGCTGAGATGGCTTTTGGCACCCTCTCTTTTTTTCCCTTACCTCTGGCAATTCTGAATTCCCTGACAAGTAAGGCATCAAATCCTTGGCATTTAATGCAACCTGAAAAGAGTTCTGGATCACAAGGTATACTGCAGACACTCAGCCAGTTTTGTGAAGGTGTGTGTGTGTGCATGTGTGTCCGCACACACACACACTACACATTATCAGTCCAGAGGGGCTGGTTCCATTTATGTAGCACAGAGTGAACAGGGCCTTAACTGCAGGCACTGGACTAAATGTCAGTCTGACCAATCTGGAGACATCAAAGTTATTCACACTGGACATATAAACACTCTGACAAGGTGGCAGGTCCTCAACACTGGACTAAAACAACTTGAAAGTATCTGCACTGACAAGTGACTTCTAGAGTCAGCCATGTAAGATCCTTGAACCTGGACCTGATCAGTCAAGATGGATCCATGAACTTTGGTGTCATTCATGCCAGACACAGAGCTAGTTAGAGTTGATGCCTGACTTTTGAACAGAGGCACAGTCAACTGGGCCTGAAAAGCCCATCAGCTAAAATTAGGGTGATCATTGGTCCTGTTTTATACTGGATCGTCCTGTTTTTAAACCCTTTGTCCCCTATCTGTTTCTGAATGAGGAACAGACTGCAAAAAGTCCTGTTTTTCAGTGCATTGGTGCAAATATATGTCAATTATTTGCTCTTGTGATTCTATTGACTGTGCCTAGACATAGGGCAGTGCGCAGCCAGGAGGAGCTGGATTCTGAGACAGCCAGGGAGGGAGGTAGAAGATCCCAGGTGCTGATCACTCTGTCCCTGCGTGAGGAGCTGTAGATGCACTGCACATACAGGCACAGCGAGAGCTGAGGTGCTGCTGTAGGCCTGAGCTCCCTGAGCCCTCACCAAGGGGATGTCCTGTATTCTGCGGATGTTTCAGTGGCCACCCTAGCTAAAGTGGAAGGTAGCTGTCTCACTTCTGTGGGTTCAAATAATGCCTATACAATAGGACCATCCTGTTTTTCTTAAGATACCCTGATTACCTAAATTAAAACTAATGAAAAGAGGCCCCTGAAGAACCAGAAGGGGAAGAGAAAGAAGTAATGAGGGAAGCATCAAGAACACTACATCTGATCTGAACTTGCTAGTGGGTTTGGAGATTAGAAAGGAGAGAGGATAGTTAGAATCACTTCCCTTCTCAAAGCCTAGGAATCCTCCGTGGGAAGGAAAAAGCAAAAGTGAAAAACTTCAATGCACACTGCTCATTAAAGGATTCTAAGAATTTGCGACCTGGTGTCTTGATGCCACACAAGCAGGAACATAGAGACTACCTGGAGAAAAAAAAAAGCAGTTGATAAAAAATGCAAAACACATCAAAATGTTTGTATACTGTATTTATACTGACTGATATCCATTCCTGGTAGAGAAGATTTCAGTCAAAAGAGAAATTTTCTGAATTTTTAAGTTGTGACACACTGGCCACATATCATGAGACACTGACTGCGTAGTTGTTACTGCACAGTCATTTAGTACATGCATACACAAGTACTAAATGACTGAGCAGTAACTGGTGTTCCTGTACAATAGCATCCCTGCACAGCTTCCTGGTAATGCTGACTGCGCAGTAGCTCATTAGTAAAGCGCAGTAGCAGTGCATCACAATTCATGCCATGCAACACTACTGCGCAGTAGTAACAAGCTACTGCACAGTAAGCATCTTGTGTAGATACTGCAACTGTCTGTATGTACACATAAGTAGTATGAACCTAAGGCCCCTGACATAAAAATAATTGTGCAATTGGGATCATGCACAGCAGGATGCATGACTTTTGGAATAAAATTCCTCAGATCCCAATGACGCAACCGCAGAATGGTGCAGCCTGGCACTGCAGAACTAGTTCCCTGATGCTGGGATGCATTGGCCCACATTTCAATGGGTGGAGAGCAGCCCCGAGTCCTGGAGCCAGTATCTGGGGCTGCCCCTCCTGACTGGGTGCAGAGTAACCCCAGGTCCCAGAATCAGGACTGCTTCTGCAGATCAGGCAAGAAGTAGCCTCAGATCTGGGACTGAGGTCTGTCACCAGGGATCAGGTGAATAAGAGCCCTGGGGCTGCCTCCAGGGATCAGGTGGGAAGAGCCCTAGGTCCTGGTGGAAATGTATACCAGAGGAGTAGGGGATCCACAGCCCCAACTGCATATTCCCTGGCCTGGAATGGCAAGCATATACCCAGAGACTGGGAAGCTTTCCAATGCCCAGCTGCATGCACCCCATGCTGTAGTGCAGATAGCTAGGCATCACAGAGCCTGGGTCACCAGCTGCCCTTGCTGCATACCCAGCGTTGGACTGGACAGAGTGACTTTAAATAACTCCATCTTTGGGCAGCTCATAGGCTCCCCATGAAGGGGCATTTAAAACTATACCATGCACCCCACTACAGCATGCCACATTCAAAATAGGGCAAGATACAAACAAGCCACAGAGGTTCTACATTAAAATGTGGAACATCTTTGTGGCCTGTTTAACATATTGTGCCATAAATTTGCCAAACATGCAGAATGTTGTGTTTTATGCTGCAATTAATGAGTAAATCACACCATAAATGTAATATCTGCCAGGCATCTAACACCTCAGTTTGTAAATATGTTGATGAAACCAGAAATCTGCCATTCCTTCATCCTAGATGGCCATAATAGTCAAATCTGAAACCTTCCAGGCCAGCTAAATCTTTTTACCCACAAGCATCCACCAGTTTAACTAAAGGTGTGCTTTTAGAGCAATTTAAAAAGGTGTATAGTTGTGAAGACACATGCATCTTTCAGCTTAAGATCAATATTAGTAAAGATAAACAAAAATAAGCTACTGGTAAATTGAACTGAAGTAACAGGCACCTATTTAACTAAATTAGTTTTGAAAACAAACAAAAAACTGCAAAACAACTTTAGTTTCGCTGGAGGAACTGTGTGCAAGCAAGGCTCAAATCTTGCTCAGGAATAAAATATTACCCTGATGTAAAGCAGTTACAGAATTCTCACCTGATTGGCCTAGTGGATGCCTGGCACTGTCCATTCTTCCCAGCACAGACCTGTTAGCTTGAGATGCTTGCAGACTAGCCTGATAGAGGGATTCCAGCTCAGAAATCTCCTGTTCTGTGTCTTGATTCCACTGTGGGTGCAGCTGCATTGGGGTCCTGTCCAAGTCACCTCTAACTCTTCTCTTCTCAGGAAGCAATGGATTCCTCATAGGCACCAGAAGCCATTCGGTATTCTTACTTTCCAGCTGAGAACTTTTAACATCATCCACCCAGTGATTCACAGGCAGAGACACTACCATGCCAGAACTAGTTCCATCATCTACCTGTTTCATGCCTCTTTCATGTGTGCACCTTTCCTGGCAGATTACAGAGCCTGTTACATTCTGCCCACCTCTTCCACACTGCTCTTTTTTGTGAGACCCAGGATTTTTAGAGCTGTGTTTGGCACTTAAACATTCCATGGAAACTAACCCATCCCTAACATCCAAGGATGAGAGGGACTTCTCAGAAGACCAACTTCTGTTCTCTTGGCTTTGATGAATGTGTTGTCTATAGACCAAGGGTGAAAGATTGGTGATGGATTCTTGCATTAGTCTTGGAGATTTCTCATCCTGACAGACTACTGCAGTCCACCCTTTCTCATGAGTACCTTCTTTGCAGACCCCATGCATTCTCTGAAACTGTTCTGCCAGGAAACGAACATGCCCTCTAGTGGTCAGGGTATCAGATTTGCAAGACTCCATCTTTCCAAATTCATCCTGAGGGTGGAGTAAAGTTTCATGGCTGTTTGGTCTGGAATACTTATCTGCTGTCTGTACAGGATCATGGGGACACTGAAGTAATGGGGATAAAGCAGCAGGAGTCATGGAATGATAGCTCCCTAGCTGGTCAATGCTGGGCTGCACAGGAAAGCTTGCAAGTGTGAAGCAAGGACTGTGTTGGCCACTTTTGTCAGGACATGCTGCTTGTGCTGGATGTGGACAGGGAAACAGTGTAGGCAAAGACCCAGAGTTTACTGTATTAGTCTTGATTTTGTGCTGAGCTGTGAGTGAAGCTGTTATGTCATGAACTTCATTTAACTTGCTGCTGCTGCAGCAATCCCTATAGTCTTCTAGCCCTTTGGTTGTGGCTCTATCAAAATCCACACCATGATGGGCAACATTCTTTATCTTTGTGGGTCTCTCAGCCAACCCATGCCTATAGGGAAAAGAGTGAGCTCGGTCATCAAAATCAGCAGAAGCAGATTGGAAGTTTGGAGATGTCCTGTTTGGTGGATTGCTTTCAGGAGGGGGCAGGGAGGAAGCCTCTGGATATAATGATGAGTGCAACTCATGGCAGGAAGCAGGTGAGTGGAAGAAAGAACTGGACCCATATTCCACTCCTCTGTTGGGTTCCAGCGGTAATTCCTGACTCAGCAGTACTTGGAGTGGGCCAGTCTGTTCACTAAAATACACAGAAACGGTAACCAATCATTTGTAAGCCCTTTTTTAAAAAATTTAGTCTTAAGCTGTGGAACTTGCTCCTATTTGATGACATCTACTTCAAATCATTTCACAATACAAAATCCCCACCCAAAGAATTTCTTGTTAATTAAAGAATAAGTCATTTTATGCCTTTCCCTCCATTCTTTTTTTCTCCCTTACAACTGTCTCCCACATACAACACACTGGATTCATTACTAGTTTTAAGAATTAATTTTGTATAACAAAGTTTCAAATAGGTATAATTTTTAATACTGTTTTACAACACTTCAAGTAGTTTGGAAAAGGGCTTGAATGTGTCAATATGTGGTCACATTAATCTCTTTTAAACTAAATATTACAAGTCTCTTTCCAAGATTAGTGGCCAAGCGATTCTGACAACACATCCAAGAGGACTTCACGATTTAATGCAAATAGACAACATTCTACTGACATTCTGTATCTCCAAATAATAGGGAATAATTTTGGGAAGGGAAGGATTAGGATTAATATATTTTTACTAGTTCTCTTTGTCCTTATCCTCTTAGTTTTCGGATTCAATAAGTAACTGTAGTATTTACATATATTACCAACTTTGCATATTTGTTCTGTGTAAAATTAAAGCTTGTGGATCATTTTGCATTTATTCTGCATTTAATTTGCACTTTAGCATGCAGACAAAGTAATAAATGAATAAAATCAGAGAACTGGAAACAATCTGGACAGTCAGGAATGGTCCAGATAACTGAAACCAAACTGAAAACTTCCTTCCTCATTCAAAGCAATACTTACTGTTCACTGAAGTAGTGTGTTAATCTTAATCAGAATCTACTAAATGACAACACCGTGCATGTAAAGGCTGCTGGATACTTAGGATAATTATTTCTTACAGGACAAAAGAACAACTGAATGATCACAACCCTAGCAATCTGTCTCTTCATACTGACCCTAAAAATCAAAGCTCCCATGACAAAGACAGCTAGCACAGGGGTGCTCAAACTCCAGCTCTCAAACCAAGTGTGGCCCACAGAGCCATCACATCTGGCCCACAGGGCTCCCCATGTGTCAAGAAATTTGGCAGCACAGTGTGGTGGCCATCAATATGGCCACATTCCCCCCTGCCAAATTCCCAAGCCCCATGCAGTCAGTCAGGGATAGGTAAGGCAAGGCTGTCCCCCCTTCACCTGAGGGGCTGGACCATGCCCCCTTCCCCTCCCAACAGGGCAGGTTTGGAGCCTGGCCACACCTCTCCTCCCCCATCTCATTCTGTAAAGTATGTAGCTGGAGAGGCCAATTAGCAGCTGCACATATAGCAGGTGGGAACACCTCTTTGCATCCAGCTGTCAAGTCACCTCAACCACAAGTCATCAAAGACCCAGCTCCCCTCCCCATTTGCATCTGTGGCTGTTAGGGAAGGAAGCAGAGGTTGAGTCCAGGCACAGAAGTCACCAGCTGAGAGGTCTGCAGAGTCAGCACAAGGTGAAGTATCCCTTGTCACTCAAGTAGGACTTGCAGAAGAGAGACAGTGGGGCTAGGGCAGGTGATATGACCATCTCCCTGCCGAGCTCTGGCAGAACGACCTCCCTGGAGTTGGACGAATCAGGGCTGCTCTCTGCAAAGGCCTTGTTGGGGAATGGGAAGTAACTCCTTACAAATCGCAGGGACAATACCAACACCTGCTTGCCAACCTGGTTGGTCTCCAATACAATAAAAACACTGAGATCTCATCTGTTCTGTGAGCCAGTCAGAAGCAGTTTCTAAAAGCTTCTACTACAGTCCACGTTTTGATTTTGTACACAAAAAGACCTAGTCTACTAAAACCAAGGACACACTGAAGAAGGCTCTCTGATAATGCAGAATGATCTGAGCAGAGCTGAAACAAGAAGAATGTTACAGGGTCTTGAGTAATCAGGGGAATATTTCATTAGCTATTTCTTTCCAGACCTTGCTGCTGGGAGGTACAGCTCGGACCTGTAATCAGGGGAATATTTCATTAGCTATTTCTTTCCAGACCTTGCTGCTGGGAGGTACAGCTCAGACCTGGTTTAACTGTGATGCACTTGGACTACCTTGTAAATTGGGTCATGGTGCCCCCCTGTGGTGGGTGGCAGGTTGGCGGCGGCAGCTGCTGCGATGGCTGTTGATGCTGCATGCGATCCTGGAGGCTCCGTGCTTTTCGGATACTGATTTGCAGCTTCTTATCGACTAGGGCTCTGCTGTGAGTGCTAGAGCTGGCATCATGCATGGCAAGTCTTAGTTTAGCTAAAATGCAAAAGAAAACATAGCAGAAACAAAAAACAGAAAAAAAGAATAAAATTGGGGGGAAAAAAAAGAAAAAAAAAAGATGCAGCAGGAACATAAAACATGGACCATGCAAATACTGCCACAAAAGGGTTCACAGGGATGCTTTCATTTCCATTAATGCACATTCAAGTTAGCCATGTGTCCAAACAGGTTAACTGAAACTAAACCAAAATGAAGTTGGAACAAAATCTAAGTTTTAGCCAAACCTCTTATCCCCTTAACATGGGCTCTCTCCAACTGCCATTTCTTTCTTAGGCTTCCATCTATGCTTTTCCTTATCCACTATACCAAGAGGTCCCTTAACGTATATGGGAACTGGACAGGTTTTGACACCAAGGCATAGCCAGCTGGAACACAAGCTAACAGAGCTTTCATGAGGGCTATGTACTGATTCTCATTTTGTAACTCAAAAGCCAGTTTCTACAAACATGTTTTTGCCTTTGTAAATCCATGCTGCTACCTGCTCTGTTTGCAACCTCACTAACCAGCCAGAGGAAAATGAAGGGTGGAGTGGGATAGCCAGCCAATCAAAATATAAAATATTGAAAAATACTAAAATAAAAGAATGCAATAGCACATATTTCTATAATTCACAGCACACATTAAGCCCTTCAACGTGTTGATGCCTCTTTCTCCCAACAGCTGAGTAAGTATAGCATAGTTCATACCTTCCGCTTTGGTAACAGAAGAGGGAGACTCTCATGCTCCCTTCCTACTGCTGTACTGGGGTCTTAAACACCTTTGGAAAAGCCTACTGATTGGAAAAAAATGTTTAGGGGGATAGAGAGGCAGGAGTGGGTGCTTGCTGAAATATGCGAGTTAGCACTAGCCTCCCAATGGCATCACTGCCATACTAGAGACAGCAGCACAAAGGGGATCCTAGCAAAAAGGAGAGGGATAGAGTAGAACAAGACTACAATCCAGAAATAAGACTGCTTAGAAAGGGGGAGTACTTTCTCCCAGCATTCTGCTAGAAATCACCAGTCCCAATATTCCCACCTGATGAATTCAGATGACCAGTCAATGTTATAGACCTGTTCTGCAACATTAGTAAGTTGTCAAAAGCGCAATAGCTCAGGCGGTTAGAGTTACTTACATATAGCTTCGTTACAGAGAGCCAAAGCTGCAGCACAATCCCCCTTCTGCTCCTGATGTAGCGACTCTTCAAAGATTGAGTCTGCCTCCTGCATGGACCTCTCAAAGCCATCACTCCTCCCTGCAATGGGCAGCACTCTTCATTTCATTTGCATTCTTTCTTAAATCTTCCTCCTACCCTCCTCCTCCCATTTGAGAGCACAAAACCTTCATGTACAGCCAGTCTTATGTAGCAGACCTCCTGTAGAGGCTGTATCTTTCCCAGACACTCTTCTCTTCTTTTAAGCCTATTTATTGCAATATTATAAACCTCTCCAGGATGAAGAGCAACCTTGGTCAGAGAAATAAAAAATACTGAGAACCATGTGGATCAGCAGCTACTCTCAAGGTTTCTTTATAAGGGCAAGTCACATTGTTTTCACATGAGATGTTATTTAAAATGCATTTAGTTAAACTGATACAAAACACAGCAGTGATAGTGTTTCATTTTAAGCCAGACTTATGTCCATTAGAAATTCAAATTTTACCTAAATAAAAATAAAGTAGTCTTATATCACAATAATAGCCTTGCAGAGAGGTTTGTATCAGTTTAATTACATGTATTGTATTTAAAATTGCAACATATGTTAAATTGGTGCCACTTTCATGCATAGATAGTGCCTCCTACATCTGAGTGCATCCATGAATTTCAACCAAGTCCTTTTCAATTTACAGCCTGGTAACACAGCAAACTTTGGTGCATCTCAGTTCCAATAAATGTTTGTTTTGGCATTTGCCCACCAAACACACAAAATCAAGGATAACTAGAAGCTAAATCAGTGTTGGGAGCAGCAATATCACCATCAGTGACTAAACCTTAGTCAGTCTCTTAGGCTGCTTGCAAACATTTTTAAAAAAAAAGTGGCGCTTTAGTTTAAACTTGGTGTACTCCTGTGCTGTGCCCAGCACATCCCAGGAGAGGCAGTGTTAATTGGACCTGGCTTGCCCAATGTCCATATAAAGCGGGCGCTTAGTGAGGCTTTCTTGGGGCTTCTACATAATAGCTGATTGAATCTACTTTAGATGCAAGTACCAAAAAACCCTGCTGAAGTGCCTGATCTATACAGATGCTGCAGAGCTGGGTCAAAGTAATGTGCTGCTTCTTTTGGTAAAGCCCGTTTTGTTTTGTTTTCCTTTTTTTTTTTTTTTTTAAACGTCTGCAAGCAGCCTTAAAGTAATTATTTCTGATTCATAAGTTTGTTAACTGCAAGAATGGAGTAATTTATCTTTAAAACAAAATGCAATTTTGGGGAGGTGAGTAGTCAGCTTGTTCCTATGCTCTAAAAGAATTCTCACGCCATCTACTGTGATGAGAAGAACATTATAGCACATGGTATGTACAAATACCATTTAGCATGTTGTACCTGTACCTCTGCTGCATGATCACAAATCCTTTCCCAGAAATCATCTGTCCAGAGTTTGAGAGGTGAGAAACCCAGGGAATGGCCAAGTAACCTATTACCTAAAGTTAGGTCACATCTACAGAGTAATAGTACAAGTAACCCAACGTGCAAGTAAGAGGAGACCCTCTCCTCCACTCCACAGGTCAAATGCCAGTTATTTCTATTTAGTCATCTCCTCATATACTTGTACACTCTTTCCATCTGAAACTACTCTGAGGTGCATGGGAAATGTTAATCAGATTCAGCAGTGTATAAATGAATTCACTGACTGGACACACATGCTCTGCACTACAAGAGACAAATGGAATGTTAAAGCCCAATGGTACCGCAGCCTTCGTAGCACTGAAACAGCATGTGGGAAAGAATCTGAGAAGAGGGGAACATAACCAAAAATTCTTTGGGTAACAATTGAGGGACAAAGGAGAAGCTTACTCTAGTGCCATTTATTAGACAGCCTACAGTGTGCTCATGACAATATACTAATTCAAGCAAATAACTGTTAATTTGGTTTGTATCATATCATGACAGTAGAGAATGAAAAAAAATATTTTTTTCCCCACAAAAAATAAAAGCCTCCTTGACATACGTTTTGCATACATCATTCCATGTGCTTCACAAAAATCTTGTGAATAAGCATCTGCTTCATCTGAAGGTGAAGATGGGTAGATGGGTAAGTCAGCCCAGCAGCATTTCACAGTCAAAACATGAAGCCTTTGAGCACTGTAAAACTGAGGCTAAATTCAAATTTTCTAAACTTAACCTTCTTTGTGTAGGGAAAGCCATTTAATCTGAAGAGGAATGGGTCATGAATGTACTGGAGTTTTTGCATAAGCAGGAAGCCTTCTTGGCAGCCAGGCAAACCATCTAAGATACAGGTGCCATGTTTTTGGAATGCAAAAACCATAAAGAATGAAAAAGAAAGGCTAAACAATACATCCAGGTTTCCTAATCTATCCCAAACCAGAGACGAAAACCTCTCATAAGGATTATGTAGTAATTTGGAGCTGGGAAGGGATAAGTTCATAATGTGGCTTGTTTGTTTGTTTTTAAACAAGGAAAGGCTACAATGCAGATGTTTCTTACAATGTGCTTAGTAGAGCATTACCAGGAACTAAACTGGACCAGTTTCTAAAAACTCAGTGGATTAATATTTTTTGGAGGCTGCAGCTTCACATTCCACAATCTGAGTTTTCAGTTTTTTAAAAAAAGTCACTATCATTTATAGTTGCAAAGATATTAATCAGTGGTAACTGATACAATATCTACTTGACTTCAGCAGATAGTCTGAAAAGAGAGTTCTAAAATAAATGTGAATCTACTCCTCATTTCAATGTGTTGTTTACCAGGATCTTATGACAACAGTTTAGATATCAACATTAGTAATTATTACATTATTAATTACCAAGAGTGTAGAAGCACAAATATATGGGGAGTAAAATCTTTATTTTAGTGCCTTGCATGGACAGAATTTGTTATTTGGACAGAAAACAATTAGGGTTTCCCTTTATCCCAAATTAGTCTCTTGGGTGTTACAAATTCAGTCCGCTTGTTCCCTACATTTTTAAGACTTCATAGACCAATTGCCAGTCCTGGAGACAGTTTTGGGTACTAGCAATATTGTAGCAGGACAGAAAAAGAAAGAGTGGTAAAGAAAAAAACTGAAGTGCCCCGAGGATCAAAAAGAATCTTCCTCACTTCCCCCACATCTGACACAATATTCCAAAGCACACCCCCATGCCAACAGCCTTGTCCAGCTCATATGAGTTACCCTGGTTCTGCAGTTCATCCAGGTCCATGAACCTGCTGGGATGAGGATTAAAGCCCATTGCTGCCTCCATTTCCTTTTCCCGTTTCCTGCGTAATTCTTGTTCCTGTGCCCGCCTGGCCACTTCCTCCTGTAATTGATCCAATTCGCTTTTTGATGGCACAGGTATCTCCCCACCTTCAAACAAAAATAAAAAAATAAAAAATCAGCAGACCTATCTGCCAGTCAATAAAACACATTTCATTTCTTCTATACCCGTAGCTGAGCTTTTCTACCTTCCTGGTTCAGCTTTCCTTTTACAACCTAAAAATAACATTTAGTTTTTATTTTTAAAGCATTTTTAGTCATGAAGCAAGGAGAACCAGAGGACTAAGGAAACTGCAAGTGCTACTCAAAAGACATACAAGGTAGTATAGGGCAAATGGACTACTTTATAAAAGTGTCCCCTAATCTGTCTGCTGCACTTCACAGAGTGAATCCTCTGTTCTTATCACTTACCAAGGTGCAAACCCAAATGCAATAATATTCTAGTTATAATTCCATTAAAATCTTAGAGAGGCTCTACTCCCAAATTCTGTAATAATGCCTCTTACCAGCAACTTCAAAATGTTACAGGTTTGTTTTGCAGAATCAGGAAGGAATGCTGCAAGGCAGTGGTTGTCAACTGGGAGTATGCATACCCCAAGGGGTACTTAAAAGTGTGGTAGGGGGTACCCAGAACTCTGTGTGAGTGCAGCCGCAAGACAGCATGCAAGTGGCCAGGAGCAGAGCTGAGCCACATGGAGAGCAGCCAGGTCTAGCTGGTAAGCATGTTGTGGTGGGAGAGTGGGGCTGGGGAAAGAGCTGCCCTGCCAGGGACTGAGCTGCACTGTGGGGGGCAGCTCCCACCGCTACATGCACCCCAGAAGGGCATGGGGGGCGTGTGCCCCCAGATCTGTGTGCAAGCTGGGGCTCTTCCTGGGAGGGAGCTGGGCCAGGCTGTGCTTGGGGCAGGGGGGTGGACAGCAGCAGTCCTGGAAGCAGGACTACTGGGGGGGGCGGGGGAGGAGGGCTGCAGGCACCCATAAATTCACCATAGCCCTCTTCCCAGTGCTGCTGCCTGTCCCGAGTGCAGTGCGGCCCTACTCCCACACCGGGAAGAGCCCAACACAGCCTTCCCCTCCCCCCACTCCTTTCTTCCCGAGGGCATGTGGGCCACGTGCCCGGGATCTGCACAGTGGGGTTGGCAGGCTGCTGCTGCAGGCTGGGGCTGGGAGGCAGTGCTGGGCTCTTCCAGGTGAAGGGATTGGGCCATGCTGTACTTGTAGTGGGCAGTGGAGGTGCTGGGATGGAGGGTGGGGGTGGCTACAGCAAATTTTTGGGTGCTTGTAGCCCCACTCCCGTAGGCCCCCTCAGTGAGGGAGGGAGTGGGGCTGGAGCTGGGGCAGGCACTTCCCAGCTTGGGTGAAGTGTGGGACAGAGACACAAGTGGCATGTCTGGGGCCACAGGGGGTGGCAGCTCCCACCGCTGCATGCACCCCAGGAGGGCATGAGGGTGGGCACGTGCTCCGGATCTGCACATGGGGTGCAGCGCACCACAGGCCACTGCAGACTGGGGCCAGGACAGCACTGGGCTGTTCCCGGCAGGGGTGTTGGGCTTGGCTGTGCTGGGTTGGGTGGGGGCTATGGCAAATTTTGGGGTGGTTGTAGCCCCTCCCACTGCTGCCACTGCCTGCCATGAGCACAGCCCAGCCCGGCCCCCACTGAGAAGAGCCCAGCGTAGCCCTGGTCCTAGCCCACTCTCGCCCTGCGTGCAGATCTGGGGGCACACTCCTCCCATGCCCTTCTGGGGTGCGTACAGTGGTGGGAGCTACCACCTCTTGCACCCTCTGGATGAGCTGCTTGCGGCTGTGTCCTGCACACTGACTCAGCTGAGCAGTGCCTGACCCTGCTCCAACCCCAGCCCCACTCCCTCCCTCACTGTGGGGGCTTATGGGAGCGGGGCTACAGGGGCACTCCAGAACTTGCCATAGGCCCCCCAACCCCAGCCCCACTCCCTCCCTCACTGCGGGGGCTTATGGGAGCGGCTCCCCTCCCAGCACCCTTTGGACGAGCTGCTTGCAGCTCCATTCCACACCCTGCCCCGTCCTGGCTTAGCAGTGCTTGCCCCTGCCCCACTCCCTCCCTCACCACAGGGCCTCGATCTGCCCCACCCCTTAAAAACAAGAACAAAATATAAAGAGGTACATGAGCTGAAACTGAGACGGAAGGAGTACACTTGTTAAAAAAGATTAAAAACCCCTGGTCTAAAGTAAATAGAATATATTATAAGAGCATTTTCTTGATTTACTCTTTCCACTCTGTGTCACCATAAAGATGCATTCTCTTTTTCCCCCCTTCCTTTTTTATATTCCTTAGTAATTTCTTATGGCTGAGGCCACAGAAATAGAGGGACAGCTTGTTACACTACTTCTGACAATTAAGCCATTTTAAAAAAACTATTAACGAGGCAAGTCCATTTCCTGAAATTGTGAAATTCAATTGACATGCCCATAGAACGTCATGAACCATCAAATGTATGCAAATATATGACTCATCTTAAATTGGAATAATTTACCAGCAAGTTAATTTAACAAATTCTTTAAAGTTGTGATTATTAAAAATGGTCAAACTAACTATGAAAGTAACAGGAATTAAAAAAAATGGAACCTGATAAGTAGTTCTGGAAAGAAAAGGACTATTGGCAAAGCTTTTTAAAACTAATTACTGATTAAAAAATTACTCCAGCTCTTTCCTGCTGCCTCATCCATTTGATAAATGGGAGAAATCAAGGTGAAATTTTCTAATTGAAAACAGGCTATCGGACCCCTAACTCTCACTAAAACACAATGGGAAAATTTCCCTTAAACATTTCAGGCCTGATATCCACAAAATGTGTTACCCTCCATTATTCTAGGGAGATATGATTTTATACCAAAATGAGTAAAAGTACCACAAAGATGTAAGTTATATTAATACAGACCCTCTTTTTTACAGAAATAACTGGATCCATACCAGAAAACTGTACCATTAAGCATTTTGGTTTGTAAGCTATAAAGTTAAACAAGTACAAAAGTTTCTTAGAAAGAAAATAAAATTAAAAAAAACAAAACAATCAAGAAGCTATTATTAGAAACTGGTTAAAAAGGATGGGGTAACTTGTCAGACACTAAGAAAACACCATTCGTACTTCTGCTAAATTATACTTTTGGAAACTGTAACTGGGTCAATCTGAACTTACACCTGACAAGTTATTGTGCATAATCAAGAAGTGTTGGGAAGTATACTCTGGCCCACTCTTCTGTTTTGAGTTTCTACCTTATCTGGGTGTCCCAGTGGGACACAAACGGAGGTCCTGGAACACTGTCCCATGGTGGGACCCGAGGTTGGGGTGAGCTGCCGGAAAGAAGAAACAAAAAGCCCTAAGGAGGGGGCTCGCTTACCTTCCATAGGAAAAGCCGCGCCAAGAACAGCCTTCTGTTCAGCCTTCAAAAGAGAAGGCTGAGGGGGGATCTT